CAATTTCTGAGAATAAACTGATAAAAAAAAACTGGTAAAAATATTTATAATAACTGGTATTTAAGAATATTTTTCTCTCAGCATTGTTTTCTATAATTCTCTAAAGAGAGTGAGGCATTCTGACTCATGAGTGGGGCGTTCTGACCCAACCCCAACTTTAACATTTCTGAAGATTGTTCAAGACATTCAAAGATATCAAAAAATCCATTTTGAATTTCAGAATTGAATGAAAAATCTATTGTTTCTATTTTAGAACATTTTTTCAGAAGATTTCCAACTATTGAGCAATGTTCTTGTTTCAAAGAGCAGTTGTTAAAGGTAATGCACTTCAATGTTCCTGAAGATTGTGAAAGTCTTTCACAAATATTCAGAAAGTTATTTTTCATGATTTTGCTGCGAGTATCTCTAAGCAAAATACAATTCTAAAAATTTCTTCTCCTGTCTATATATTGAAATATATAAATTATTCTTTGAATTTGGATATACAAATGTACAGATTCTCAAATATAGGAGTTTATATAGTTAGCTGTGAGGGATTTTGGGTTATAAAATAGGTAAAACCCTTCGAAAATACTGTTGTCATCCTTAGTTTTAGTGTAGCTTTTACACAAAGCATGATAAATACTCAGAATGAAAAATTCATATGAGTAATATTGGAAATTTCTATAAGATTGTAGAGATAAATATTTTCATCTTTTTAAGAATAATTTATACTTTTAAACAAAGGTGAAAAGAAAGGTAGATAGATCTTGTAGAAACAAAACAGCTACCAAAGATTTCTTTGAATATAAAAGTTTGGTTATCCAATGAATTTAATATGATAAATCTCAGTAATATAAACCACAGGCTTGTTTATATATGATTATGACAATGGTTATAACCATTGACAGTCCCCCATTAAGCCTTTACTTTCCTGCTGTAGGGTTGTAGCTAAGTACTGGTCCAAATTGAATGTTGATGTGTCTACCTTATCTGCCACAGGAGTTTTTAATGAAAGAGCAGGCTGCTGGAAGAAAATTTATACACTGATCTTCTGGATTATTCTGAAAACAACATGGAAGACAAAGTATTAGTCTATCTATCAATTGGTAGCAGAGTTTGTAGAGGGAGACACAAAACAGGTACAGACAATATAGAATGTAGAAGATAGTGAATATTCTCAAGTCAGACAGTTTGAAAGGAGACAATCATGTAAACAGGGATTTGGCTCTTGTGTCCAATTGCATAGAGGCATCAGATTGTATAAAGGTGTTTGCTTTAGGCATATTGTATTAAGAACAGGGAAATTTTTCAGTAGGATGGAACTGATTTTCACATGGCCACTAAAGCAAAGTACTACTTTTGGAGAAAGGTATCACAATCTTGCAACAGTTTCTAGCCAATAGCCTCTGCCCATATTTTTTGTCACCCTAAAGTCATCAATTCCTTTGGTTGTTCAAGCATTGAATGTGGTGAAGTTGGAACTGAGCCAAAAGTTAAATATAGTGATATTTTACCTTTAATAATGGTTTGTATTAGAGCAATTATATTACTGCTATTAAGTTTGTTCAAATTTCAACAGACCTATTCAAAATTTGGTAACTACTTTTGGAACTTCAAGGCCAAAATGTATAAACTATATTTTTTCAGTTAGGGGTGCGAACGTACCTGGGTTCGAACGTACCCAAGGTGGGTGCGAATGTACCCAGGTACATTCCCACCCTCTTTCCTCTTTCATTTATTTATTGATTTTTCATCAAATGGTTTGGTTCCAGAGGTGCACACATGTTATACTGTTGATTAGATATTGTAAATACACAGTTGAATATGAACTGACTGATATGTATTTAAACAGCTAAACAAACACTAAATTCTAATACTAAAGAACAAGATAAGTTAAAAAATGATGTTTATGCTGGAGAGTAGATATGAGATGTCTGCATCAATAAATCAATTGATGTCAATTTGCTCCACTTGAAATCAATTTGCTCAACTTGAAATCAATTTGCTCAACTTGAAATCAATTTTGAAAGTACCATCAATATGCCAGTAGTTGGATTTGGATAATAAGTTCAGCTGATGGTTTGTTGCAAAAATTAAGATTCTTTCTCCATTTTCACAAATGTCTTTCTGGAGAAATTCATCAGGTAAAAAAGTTGTGTTCAAGTTGAAATTATACACTTTTGGTTCAACTGGCCTGAATTTTTGTCTGTTTGAGTTTACAATCCTTTTTAAGTAATTGATATCAGGAAGACATTTAGCATTAGGTTCATATGATAATAGAACTTTTTCAGCAATGCTTCTTCCAGATGCTTTGTTATCACTTTTGCAAATAGTTTTTACATCAGTTTTAACTTTAACATCTACTTCCAAATTAGGTTTTCTGTTGTGATTATGTTCCAGATTGCCTTTAATAAATATACTTCTATTTTGTCTTATTCTAGCTACACATCTTTTTTTCTTACTTCACACACTGCATACCCAAATTGTTGTTGTAAGTGTTTTATGTTTAACAACAAAAGAATATCCATCATTCAATAAAATGTCATGTCCTTTTCTGCTTCCTCCTTGTACAATCTCAAAATCATTCCTCCTGATTGAGTCATTTTCATCTTCTGCATTTTCATCAGTTCCTTCTACATCCATTGATTGGTTTTCTGATTGCTGAGGACTTTCATAATCCAATGTTGAATCTTTAACCTCAGCAGGATCACTTCTGTTATCATTGAAGTCCTTCTTATTACTTTCTTTGTATTGATCAATTTCCAGATTTGTTAATTTCTTAAGGCTAACAGTACATTTTCTTTTGTTACATCTTGTGCAAACAGGTATGCTAGGTGTTTCTGTGTCAATGTGTTAAGAAAAGATAGTTGCCTAAATCATAATTGAAAACTGATGTACCTGAACATTTTCTATGGATAAGATTCTCACAAAGGCAGCATTTCAAATATTTTTGCCTTCCATAAATTTTTGAATCACAATTGTTGCATTTTGAAGCCATGTTGTTTCAACAGAACAAATTCACTTGATTATTAAAAAATCACTGTCCTTTCCAAATATTCAAAATGGCTGAAATTTTGTTTATAGCAAATATTGAAATAATTTGTTATTAAAGAAAATATATTAAATTGTAATATTTTACATCAAAAATCTAGTTAAAAAGCTTTAAATATTTACCTGTTCAAAATCTACAAAGAAGCACTTTGTCCAAATTTATTCAGGAAATACAGCTTACCTTTGGAAGTATATGCTGTCCAAAGTGAAAGTTTATTTCAACCACCTTCACTATTGAACTTCCTGCCATTTCACTTTTCAACAATATTTAATATTTTTAAATAATACTTCACATTGATAAAATATTACTTTTTACAGTCTGAGTATATACATATATATCTATTATTAACAAAACCATTTGATGAAAAATCAATAAATAAAAGAAAGAGGAAAGAGGGTGGGAATGTACCCAGGTACGTTCGCACCCAACCCCTATTTTTTCACTTATTACTTCAGAAATATGACTTGTTCAGTAAAGGAGGCCTATTTTGAGTTTTTAGGTTGAAGAGTTGCAAAAGATATAGCAGTTTTAATACAACAATTCCAACAATGAGAAAACATCGGGATTTTATATTTAAAAGAGAGTTAAAACTAAAAATCTTTTATGTCTCTATAAAAAATATATAACTGTATTTTCCTGCTATGGGGTTGTAGGTAAGTACTGGTATCAAATAGAACTAAATTAGGAGTAAGCCACTTAGAAGAGATGTAGAATTGAATAAAGATAAATATAGAACCAATTTGTAAGAACAATATAACTGTATTCTAAACTAATACTAGACCTGTTCACTAAGAGGCTTCATTCAGGACTGAATGCCTCTTACTACCTATGCCCTGTCTTATATACAATTCCTTATCAGTTGTTTATGCCTTAGGTATCAACAACAAGGGTCAAATCCCCAGAAAAGGACTGTTCACAATAAACAGGGTTAAGGTATATCATAATATGCAATAGTGATGTAAACAACAACAGGTTTGTGTTGGTAAACCCTTAAGGGTCAATGGTTACATCATATTTATGTAAATAAACACTTGATGTTGTTGTCAACATGTTGGGTAATTTAACATCTTATCCTTTGGCTATAAAAGGGGTTGATTCTGGTAGTTGAGTATCATCTACCCTAGAAGCAACATCTACTCTAATACTTCTATATTATGGTAAGTATCATTCATATCATATCTATTAGCTATAGTTCATAAGTGTACAATAATCAATATCATCTTTATCATTATCATCATTATCATCATCATTACAGAAGTTGTCGCTGTGGTTGTAGCTGTGGCTGAAGCTGTAGTGATCATCTTAATCTCATAAGCATCAACATCATTATAAAAATTATCAACAGAGGGTAATATATCGCAATTTTGAAACATTTTCCCTAGATATGTTTATTGATCTAACCCTTCTCCTAGCCATATAGAATACAGTTATATTATTCCTATGTTTTGGTTGTATATTCATCCTTCATCAATTCTACATCCCTCTTCTAAGTGGCTTACTCCTGGTTTGGTTCTATTTGGACCAGTACTTACCTACAACTTCAGCAGGAAAGTACAATATGTAAAAGTAAAATATGACATTCAAGATATTTTGAAAAGTTTAGTTGAAATTAACAAGTTACTAAAACTGAATTTCAATGAAAAATCCTAGAATCTCAATCTTGATTTGCAGATATTGAAACTGTGCTGCAAATTTATCTCTAAGTAATTGTTTTTATGGATTGATTTAACTTGTAAATAATTCAAAATCTTTCCTTTGAAATGAGTAAGCAGGTAGCTAGTCATACCAATACAAAATCTCTAACAATACTCAATAAATATAAATACAAGTTTTTTGATGTTATATTGAAAATATTCTTTGGAAAAAGAAACCTTTTAGTATGTACTAATTATTTATAGATCTTTCTATTCTTAAAAATCTCTAAAGAATAATTGAAAATTGAATAAAAAGAATTAATTGGTGTTAATTGACACATAAATATTTTAGAAACTACTTCTTCATTGTACAATTCTTTTCCAAAAGTTATTTTGCTTATTCATCACAAAAGTCAAAAAAATATGTCAATACTGTTATCAAAAGCATTTTCAACTATAAATGGAAAACTAATTGCCAAGTGTAAGATCTTTCAGAGAGTGAGCAATCTGTTTATAAATTCTTACATGATTTTCAAGATGAAAGCTATTCCCTTTCTTGTTGTGATTTTCAATGCAACTGTTTGTTATACTTTACAAAGGAGTACTGTATTTTTTTCATATCAAATGTTAAACAAATAAATTTTTGTATCTATTTTAAAAAATAGACAGAAGAATTATTAATGTTGCATCTGTGGAGAATGGAGCAACATGTCAAGCCAGTTCTGTGCATCCACCACTTTCTACAGTAGACTATACATGTCAGAATGCCTTAGAACCACAATGGATAAATGTTTGTGATTGGTCAGCACATTGTTCTGGTTTAGCATGTACTGAACATTGGATTAAAATAAATTTTAAAAAAGTTTACGAGTTAATTGGAATTTGTCTTAGTCAAAGAACTGTAGCGGATGAGCATAAAATAAAGTCAGTAGAAATTTCATTCAACAACTCTACTTATAAACCAGTTTACCAAGTTGATACAGTTGCAAATTGTCTCCTACTAGAAGAAATTGGATTACAAGCATCCAGTATAAGTTTGAGACCTGTTCCTCCTTTTTCTCTACTATCAAACATTGGTTTTAATGAAATTTTTGCGTATGCCTATGAGCAGGGTAAAATTTTTTACAATACTGATTGAAAAAAAAATTAAGTTATGTGCCATTTAATATTTTTTTATATAGTCTCCAGTGCTAAAGATGACAATGAAGAAGAATTTATAAATATTGCTGATTCTGCATTAGGAGCTACTTGTGTAAGCAATACTTCAAAAGAAAATTATCCATGTGATAATGCTCTTAATAGACTTATGCCTCTTGATTTCATACTAAAATGTGGAGCAAATCAATCACCTGTGACATCATGTGTAGGCAAATATATAGAAATAACATTTGCATTTCCAGCTGTACCACAAATTATTTGCTATAAAAACAAGTATATATATAAATTTATTAATCATTTTTAAAATATTAACATATCCATTATATTCTTTTTTCTTAGAAGACAAATTCATAGTTTAATAAAAGCTGTGAGTTTGTTATGGAGTTCAGGGTTTGCTGATGAATTGAGTAATTTGGCTCAGGATAATTTGTATCATTGCTTAACCTATAAGCATTCAAAAATTGAGTCATCATTGAAAGTTACCATAGCAGATGTTTATGGAAACAATGATGTTGGATTCAATCATTTTAAAGTTTTTACAAAAAGTACATATAGAAAGAGAGAGAGTTTTATTCTAAAATTCATTCTTTTTAAGAAAAGTGTTCAATGCTTAATGTTTTTCTCTTTATTTTAGAAACTGAAGAGAATATACTCTGGATTCAAGGTACAAATTATACATTCTATAGTCTACAAGATATATACCATGGAAAGTACAATCTACAATCCATTAAGTTCAAGGTTAAAGGTAGACAAGAGGGAAACAATAGCTGTTCATCACTAACAATTGCCTTTAAGAGTGAAACAACTGAACAGATTACATTGAAGATTGATACAATAACTACAAATAGTCAGACTCAATCTTCAATAGAAACTAGTGAACCTTTTGTGGATATTGTTACATTTGGTTTGTCACAATCATTAATTCAATGCAATGAATGGAGTATATTTTGGTTGGATATAAATGACAATGAAATTAATTTTGGTAAAGGAGAAACCTATGGCAAAGATATATTGGCAACTATTCAAACAACACTTTCTTTTGATATTAGGAAAATTCTATTCAAAAATGATTTAATAGAAAAAAGTCATTATGTTCAAATCTTACATAAAAGTAATTTTCAATTTTTAAATTTTCAATTCCTTGTTTCATTTTCATGCTTTTTTTATTTATTCAAAAGGAAAAAGGAAATTAAATTTCGACCTACTTTCTAAATGTAATAAAAATGATAAAGATTTGAGTACATGCTCAAAATTGTTAACAAATACTTTAACATTTGAATATAACTTTACAATGGGAAAGGAAATATTTAGTAATAATAGAAAAATAATGATAACTTTAAAGAAAATTACTGAATTCAATAGTAAGATTTCTATCTATATTGTTTTCAAGATAATCAATAATGGAAAAGAAGACAGTAGAATGTGCCTAATTGACAGACAATCTGAAAACAATTCATATCTTTCTTATCATTTAACATGTAAAGAGATTGACAAGATAGAATCAAATGAAATTTCTGTTTATATTTTGCCAGATGATTCTAAGAATATCAAAAATTTGCAATTTTGTGAAATGTTCTCTTAAATATTACTCTATTAACAAAAAATCTAGGCTAGTTTCTACCTTGCAAATTGTCATCTTTTATATATAATTAACCTAGCTACTGATGATAATTCTGGGTGTTTTTTTTTGTATTTACTTTCAGTTTGAACCTGAATTGACGTTTCTTCATTTAATATAGAATGTTGAAGATTTTGAAGTATTCCAAAACTTGTATTCTTTATTGAAATGCAATATTGTTCTCTATGATAGAAGTAGTAACCATTTGGACAATAAAAAACAAATTTCTTTTAAATGTCAATTTAATTATTTCTTCAACAAAATTTAATTCTGATGGTTAAATTTAAGAGACAGAAAAAAATCCAGAAAAACACTGGAAATGCCCACAAAAAATAACAGAAAATCTTCACAACAGACAGTAAATATTCACAAAATGACAAAGACACTTTCATACTTGTGTCATGGCACAATAAACTGTTTAAAATAATATACGTAGTTAAGCAAGACAATTTTGTGGGTGGATTCTCTCTAATCAATTCAATAAAATATTCCATTACCAGTTTTCTTTTCATTTAAATAAGATATCTATCTATGTTTGTAATATTGTTCAAGACTTAAAATTTGAAACAGCTATTAGAATTTATGAACCAGTTGAAATCACTGTTTTATAACTTCTATATAATGACCTTTTTCAATCAAATCATAAACTTTTTTGCCACAAAAACAACTCTTACAAATGAATATTGTGAATTTATCTATACTACTCATTTGGCAATACATGAAACTACTAATTTAAATTGAACTCTTTTCTCAGCCAAGAAAATTAACTATCAAATTGTACAGAAAATATCCATTTAAACAAAAATTCTTGACAATTGTTTAAAAAAAATATTTCATTTATATCTGCAAGGTCAAAAGCTTATACTTACTAGCTTTATTTAATGTACAATAGTTGAAATTTAAATATATCATTATTTTATGCTGCTCTAAAATGCATTTAGTAAACAAAAACTCCAATAATGAAATAGTGAAGATAATCTAAACAATATTCTTTATATAATTTAATAGGTTTTATTGCTGCGTAATGTGTATGCACTGCCCTACGCGAAACTAGGTCACTACTGCTTATCTTTATCAGTGCTATCTGCATAGCACAATACTGGTTCAATACTACTCTATTGTAGAGTATAGCTGACAAATATATGTGTACAGAGGTAAACATCAAAGTATAGAAATCCTCACTGTTTCATTTGAAACATCATCTCTCCAACTGATCATTTTCTTTGTTTTCAAATGTTGCTTTTGTTTAGTCAACATTGAAATTTGTGAACTATAAACCTTTAAAAGAGTATATAAACCCTACAAAATAAATAATTGATAGTTCAGTTCTCTAACCATCAACTGGTTGTTTAAACTTGCTTGTTTAGAACTAGAATCCCATTTTTACTCAATACACGTTCTTTGGACTTGTTGATTCATTTCTACTGAAATTACATTTATTAAGACCATTTGGAGATGAATTGGAAAGGTTATATTTCTTTAAGTAATGAATTGGTAAATGATTGGAAAGGACCAATGATATTAGTTGAGCCATTTTTAAATTACAGCTCAAAATTAGACACAGAATTTTTTTGGACACAGTGTATATCTGCACAATTCTACTGTTTTCCCAATGACAGCAGAAAATGAACTTCATTGTATGCTATCATACAGTCAACATACAATTTGCATATCTGTTTTATTTATGAAAAGACTCTGTGCTGGGAGTTGGGAGAAAATAGTCCAGTAGGCTAGAGTATAGGGTGAATGGTAAACAATAGAAAATTTTAGCCCAACTAAAATTAGGAACTGTTCAAATTCTTATGTTCGTATTATTTAAATAATATAGACCTATTACTGTAGCAATACTTTGTTGGATGAGCATGATGGGCAAAAATAATGTGAATATATCCACCAGCACAAGGTTTAAATCCAGTACATTGTGGATTGGAACACTCTGCAGACTAGTCATTAACATTTGTCCAAAAAGGTTCCATTGCATTTTCCCATTTGTAATTAAAGGGTTCATTTATAGGATATATATGAGATGCCTGATGGGTTGCCTCATTCACTTTTGATACAACATTTATGAGCATTTTTGAACAAGAAATTCTTACACATTATTGTTTTTTCTATAAGAATAGATTTTTAGAATATGATTTAAATATCTTTATTGTACTTGGCAAGCATTAAATGTTTGCATATATGCAGAAAAAATGACATATTTATATTTAGACCTTAGATATGAGAAAACTGTAGAAAGACTCCTATGTGCTAGGAATTTTAATGATTGAACTATGGAAATTATTTCTAATATATATTATATATATAATAATAATTTCTGATAAACCTTTATCTTTTTGAAATTGTCTCTGAGAGATTTGAGAGTTCATTGATCAAAATGTCATCATATTTTTTTCTAATTAATATAGACCTTAAAAAAAGCTGATTAACTTTTATCTTTTTACAAATTAATGGCTATCTTTTTCCTCCTAGCAGATATTCCTACAATCACAATACAACAAAGTTCAAAAATGAAATATAGATCAATTGAAACATTAATTAGGCTTTTGTTTATAATTCAAAAAGATATTCCTACAATCACAATACAACAAAGTTCAAAAATGAAATATAGATCAATTGAAATATTCATTAGGCTTTTGTTTATAATTCAAAAAGATAAAGGTTAATCAGAAATTTTTATTATATATGTAATAGGACATTCTGAAATTGTCTCTGGGAGATTTGAGAGTTCATTGATCTGTTGCTAAAACAAATGTGATATTGAATCATGTTGAATTTTTTTTTTCCAATTGAACTATATTTTGGTGTTTTGTCGAATTGGACAATATTATGGAAGTATAATTAATCATGTGAATATTGCTTATCAACAGTTTACTAACCAATCTTCTACATATGAAAAAGGATATAGTTTTACAGCTGTTGATGGACAGTTTAATCCTGATTTTGCATTTAGATCATGTGCTCATACCCTCAACGTAGATAATCCATGGCTTCTTATTCAATTTCCTAGAGCATATATTGTTAGAACAATAAGAGTTTTGAATAGAGATTCATTACCAGAAAAACTACAAAAATTGTCCATAAGAACAAAACTGTCAAAAGATATTTCTTTGATAGATCTCAACACTTTTCAACTATTTGGATATTATGATCAGTTTACAATAGCTGGTGGCTCTAGAACATTTCACTACAAATACAGACCCCATTATGCAACAACAGTCATCTTTGATATCAATGCTGTTGATGCATGGTTAACAATATGTGAAATTGAAATTTGGAGTTTAAAAAATCTTGCAAAAAATAAAACAACTTCAATAAGCAGTATATGGGGTAATAGTGGTGGAGAGTATGCTGTTGATGGAATGAGTAGTGGAAAGTATATTCAACAAAGTTCTTGTTCTCATACAGATGATTTAGCTACTTTTCCATGGTGGAAAGTTGATTTGGCTGATAAAAGTAGAATTTTTGCAGTATCAATTATTGGAAGAATATCTTATCTTGAGAGATTGAATAATTTAATGATAACAGTGTCTGAAAGAGATGATATTCCAACTGAATCAATGGATGGACTATGCGGAGGCTATGATGGAATTGTACCTCCATTTACAACAGTGAGATGTTCCAATGTGACAACTGGTCGTTATGTGACAGTTTGGCTGAGGACAAGTCCAACTTCTAATATACTTACTTTATGTGAAGTTGATGTATTTGGTTATTATTTAAATGAGAGTCTCACTTTCATAACAATTATCCTGAACAATACAAAGTATGAATATGCCAATAATACAATCACTAAAGACTGTAATGGAAATTTCAAATCCATCACAAATATATCAAGCTATGGAATTCAAACATTCAAAATTCAAGTTCAAAGTGTGGCAATAGAAAAATTCTGTCTGATTGGAAAGTTGAGTCTAATGACAAATTATGAAAAACATGGTAAAGAATTTATAAATGAATGTACATTTCTTAATTCAAACAATGGATATTTTAAAGAGAGAGATATGTTTGATACATGCTCATTTCAATGCGCATGCTCAGATTTCCATTGTCAGTCATTTGCAGTTTTAGTGAAAGAAGACTTGGAAAATCCTTTGAGAGAAATATTTACATTTTTGTCATTTCAATTCTAAATGAGTATCATTTTGAAATACAAACACAACTAAATGTAAACAAACAACTGTCAATATTATCTGATCTCTCTTGTAGAAGATTTTTAATGGTTATTTTTATTGTCACAGAAATATATGATTTAAGCCTAATCTATAGACAAGAGTGCCGTGTCGCTTAAGTACAAATGAATAACTAGCCTATTCTTCCTAACTACTTTTCAACAAAATATCTTCTCTCCTATAAAAAACAAACACTATCTATAAGGATGTCTATAAATAGTGTTTAGAAATAGCTAATCAATCAATTGTCAGTTGACAATTTATTATTAATAATTTATTTGTACTTTTAAAAATAACTTTTAACTTGATAGTGAAAATGTATTAATTTACTGCTGTTGAACTGTTTTATGAATGTTTTGTCCCATATTTTCTGTAATAAACAAATTGGAAAGGAGTAGCATGTTTTGTTAGTAAATTAAAAGGTGCTATTACTATAATTATAGATATATATTTTCAGATCCGCCTACAATAAGATGAATTGTCAATTTATAAAATACAGTCACCAAAACAAATGAAAAATCAACCAAGTACATATTAAATAAGAACTCATAACTTTCAAATGATATATATGTCAAAGTGCTATTTCTTTCATTACAGAACTTTTCATTGTTTTGAATTGATATTTTCTTTTTAAGTTTTAAATGCAGATAACAAAATTTGTTGTAGAGAAATGTATCTTCATTCTGGCAAACTATATTTTTTGGAGAAATAGTAATTTTTCTATTTATAATTAAGCCTAGCTAGTATTACCTACTCCATCATTACTACATTCAATAAATAAAGCTGATCTTCCAAATAATTTCACTCCTTCCGTTTCAGTATGAAATATTGCAGTTACATCATCAGGCTTTATTTCAAAAGAACAAGATGAATGATCAAAGGATTTTGAACAATACATTTTTGCATTATAGAACTTTGTAATAGTAATATTATTTAGAAAACCATAAAGACTTCCATAATCAAAACCAAAAGTATGGCATAAATTCATTATATTTTTAAATTTGAAGGATTCAAAAGTTGGTTGGAACCAACTATTTTTGTAAAATATTTGCAAATTTCCAATAAAATGAGTATAATTATGATTTTGTCCAATGTTTAGAATGTTTTCTTTTGGCATAGTTCTTCAGTATACTTTAATGTTATTGATGCTTTATTTAAAATGATGTATATTTTGAAAAGACAAATAATCACCACATCAGATAGAGAAACCACATAAAATATTGGAGTAAGAATTCGCTTTTGATACAACATACATATAGAAAATGCAAATTTTTCCCAATACCGATTATAATCAGCCAATAATGGTGTAATACCCAATGTTTTTGAATTTATTATTAATGTTTTACTAGAACTTATAATGTTCTTAAAGAATGTATTTTTCATATAATCTGGTGTTCTTTCTATTTATAAAATCTATGCAATTCACCCTCAAATTAGTAAATGACTGTTGTGGACAAAATTGAATTGGGATATATGAGAAATTCTTATAATAGCCAATAAATAACAGGAAACATAGAGAGGAGAGGGTGGAAGACAGAAGGATATATGAAGATGTACGCTAAATAAGGTTTGTGAGAGTATTGGCTTACAATATCTACTTTTCTATCAAACAATAAAAAAGTTATAAAATGAAATAGTAGTGTTCAGAATGCTTTTATTCTAATAAAGAACACCAATTGAAAGAGCAAGAAACATATAATTCATAAAATGTTTGGTTTGGTCAATTGTCCATCTAAAATATAAATCAGTAACTATTACCGTCAGCCATAAAATAGACTGTTTTTGTAATTTTAGTAGTTTTCCCATCAACTGTATTTGAAGCAGAACAATTAAAATGATGACATTCACCTTCCCAACTCTTTTGAACTCTTAACTGATTTTCATTTGATTCAATAAGATTGGAATTTTTCTGTAAAATTAAATGTCGTAATGCCATTTATAAAAGTAAAAATTAACTTACCTTTTTCCGTTCATAGTGAGGTGGAGGATTCCCGAAAGCTTCACAAACAATAACATAAAAAGATACAAAAAAAGTATATAGCATTAAAGTTACCATAAACTAAAATAGAAGAATATTTAAGCTAGTACTGAGTATATGTTAACATCTCTCCTTATATATGTCATAGAGTGGAGATTTTATCTGATAACTCTAGGAGAAATTTAGTCATTAATACGTTTGCACCCGGGTACGTTCACACCCAGGTACGTTCTCACCCCAACTCGGCCTACTTTTGTGTAGGGTGGTGCCTGTACAAGGTGCAGCAACATATTTTCAAGCTAAATATTGTAACTTACAACTTAACTTGAATATTACAATTTGATGAATATATAAGCTTATTAACCCAGCTAAAATGACTTTATTGTATAATATAATAATATTTTCTCCCAACCCCTATTCTTTTTCATTTAACTTAAATTGCTTTTATTGTAGCCCTATTTCTAAACATCTAAATCCTAAAACATCTAATTTTGGTAACAGTTTTTCTTCAAGAAATCTATGGATAACATTGCACTCTTCTTCTCTTGATTGATTTGCAATGCCAATGAGCAATGTTGATTTCTTTAGCATACTCCAGACCAAGAAAAGTTGATAAACGAAACAAAGTAAACCACAAAAGCGATAATCAATTTAACGAAACAAAGAACTCATTGAATATATATCAACTGATATTTTTTAATTTATTGAACTGAATGAAGAAGATTTTCAAGAATGTTATTGTTTGAATTTAAAATATATATTTACAAAGTTTTGAAATATTCATATTTCTCTTATAAAGATTGATGAATTTGTTTGAGTCTATGAGTGTTAAATAATTTTCGAAATTTGGTAAAATTGGAAATATGCCAAATTTACATTGTTTTCTTTCATCAGAATAAGATAGACTTTCGCATTCTTCATCTTTCAAACAAGATTTCAAGCATTCCTTTATATTTACATTATCTTTTGTCGCATAAATATTTGTCGGTGAAATAAGTTTATTTTCAAATTTCAATACATTTTGTACTTGAAAATCAAAAAACAAATTCAAAATATTTTATTCAAAATTTGCTATTTTTGTTTATGCTAACCTGACAAACTGGTGACTATTTCTTTACTAATTACGTAATAATTGCAAGCCCCAAATATCTCAGTTACAGAGGAAATTTTCAAGTATTTTGCAACTATTTCTTTTGTGCATGAAAATGTAAAAGAGGTTTCAGAGCTGAATCTTAGTATAGTTGAAATACTTGTACAATGAATTTCTGTATTATAATTTACACCATGAATTTGTAATCCATCTAAAAAATTTGCTGATTTTACTAAATAAAATCCTACAGCATGAAATCTATGATAAACTGGTAATTGAACATAATATGTTTGAGTATATTTGGGATGGTTACAATACGAATCTAGAAATATATTTGAATTATATGCTGAAAGTCTAATTTTCGCATGTGATAAAACACCAAAACCTGTTAAAAAATGCAGGGAAATGTTTGTTATTTCCTTATTTTTTGTATATTTTGAATTTTCAAAAATAGTATACAAACTACTCAAATTAGAAGATTCCTTTCTACCAAAAACATGAATACGACAGAAGTCGCCCAGGGCAGAAGTCGCCCAGGACAGAAGTCGCCCAGACATTGATAGAAGTCGCCCAGAGCTGTGACAGAAGTCGCCCAGAAGTGTGATAGAAGTCACCCAGGACTATGACAGAAGTCGCCCAGAAGTGTACTAGAAGTTTACAGTATGCTTAATAAAATGCAAAATATATGAAAATAATTTATGAAGTAGTTTGTATTTATTATTTGTAATCTCTGAGTGATAATGAAAGAAATTGTTTTACCAGTTTTTTTTGTAGAGTAATGTTTTACCACTTGATTTGTTGTGAAAATTGAATTGTTAGCTATTCGAATTAAGTGATTTTCTGCATTGTAATCCTTCAAAAGTAACAATTGTTTTGATAAAAATATTAGTCTCTTTAAAATCATGTATATATCTTACAATTTTTTTTTAATTCTCATGATCTTTGACATAAGAGGTATTTGAAAGAAATTGATGAACATGGCAAAATTCTGCTTTGAATGTAGAAACAAATTTAATAAATTAAATGAAATGCATAAGATTTTTAGTTTAAAACTCAATACTGTACTTTGTATTGTGATTGTGGGAATTTTCTGCTGTACTGATCCAAATAGAACCTCAAGTTTGTGCACAAGTTTAAGCAAATAAATGATATTTATGTGAAACCTTCAACAGAATGCCAGTATTTTATTATTTAATTCATTCACTATTTAGTTATTATTAAATGATGCATTCTATATTTATTAATACTTATTATATATTTCAATTGTCAGAAATCAATAGAAACAAAGAACAAACACATTATGTCTTCTACAGTTCTAGGCGACTTCTGTCATAGTCCTGGGCGACTTCTATCACAGTTCTGGGCGACTTCTGTCACAGCTCTGGGCGACTTCTATCAATTTCTGGGCGACTTCTGTCCTGGGCGACTTCTGCCCTGGGCGACTTCTGTTGTTCCCCAAAAACATATACTTCACAAATTTTCAATACTTTTCTTGTCCCATTAATTATACGAAATGATATTCTATCTCCAATAAATTGACAATTATAGAATAAATATTCAAGTGTTGCTTTGTTTTTTAAAGAGCAAATTTGCCTTTGTAAGTATATATCCAATATTTCAACTGCAACTTGAATAGCAGCATCACGATAAATGTTTGAAATATCTAGAAATAAACAAATTATTCTTATTAAATCTTTTAAAAATAGTAATATAGTTGGCTTGTTGAAGATTTCATCTAGATTGACCAAGAAAAGTGATCATGAGTCAACAAATTAAGGACAACACATGCCCAAAAGTTTCATGAACAAGGGAATTTTATTGGATGAACTGTGATGAAATCTCCAAATATTCGACAAAAAATATATTACAAGTCATTGAATTGATTGGAAGAAGAAGAGTAACTTGGTCCACAGTATGAAGACTATCCATATAAATGGTAATTCTTCCCTCATAGTCATCATTCATACTAATTCCAGTACATGAGAAAAAACCATTTTCTGTTTTATCGTTCAGCGCTAAACCATCAATAGCTTTCAAAGGTAATTGCTCACTTTCCAATTTAGCAATAAAACCTTGTTTATTGACAGTTCTGTCACTCTTAACTAATGGTATTAATGTAAAATTATCATTGATTATTTGTTGACCAAAAGCTTCAATTTCATAAGCACTAAAATATTCTTTCTCTTCCACGTGAAGATAAATTGTTGCAAATCTACCAACCGGAAATGGCTGTTGACAAGTCCAAATTCTGTATTCGCCACTTTCAAAATCATTGTCATTATTAAAGCATAATTGAGAAGAATTGTATTGATCTTTTATAATAAATTCTGTATAGTTTGATAATATTCCTCTTATAGATCTGGCTCTATTTGCATCTAAAAGTGATACAAGTAAATAGGTTATTTGATCTAAAATTAACATATATACTATGTACTTCTTCTACTCATAATAGCCATTTTAAAAATTCTATAATTTCCAAGCAAATCCACTCTTGCCCAAGGATATCTCTCTTTCTTTGTTTGAAAAATATCATGAAAAATACCATTTGTTAATTTACAAGCAGCAGTTTGTTTATTATGATGGGAAATTGACCAGGATGGTTTATTTAAAAAGATATTAACATTCTCTTTATCCGAATTTCTTAAATATCTTCCAATTACTTCAATTTCAATAATTTCAACTTTTTGAAAAGGATTGAAATTACTTCGAAAAACAACAAATTGACCTTTGACACCCCCTTTATTACAGACAATTGAATAATAATGATGCATCTGAATTAAATAAGTCTTTTCGCCACAATAATTGAAATTTGCAGAATTTTTAACTAGAGCTGGATTTTCATTGGCTAATTCAATCAAAATATTTTGATTGGTTCCCTCAGAAGTTAACGAAGGTTTCAAATCTACAATAAAAACATTATAGTAAGCCAAAAGGTTAATTGTAACCCAATAATCAATCCCAAGATTCATTGTTGCAAAATCGCTTTCATGTCCATCAGTTAATTTAGATAAATGTTCATTTGCGATTTTGGCGAAAACTGGTTTTAAATAAGCTACATTTTCTGAAAGAGAAGGAAAAATATAAATTGGTTGTTGTAAAACTCAGCAAAATATAGAAAAAAATTAGATTTTGAAAATAAATACCTGGATAAATTTCTACTTCACAAAGATAGAGGGAAGTCAGGAATATTTCTTGAATCGTGACGTCATCAGCTCTATTCATCTTTAGATTATTACAATAGACTTTAGTAGGTAAATCAATGATCATATTGACATTGTTTGCACAGAAATTAATTGAATTTTCTGCATAAATGTTTACTGTTTGATTTACTAAAATAAAAAAAAATATTTGAAAAAAAACCAAATTATATTCTTTTGTTTTTGTCTTACTTTTACCATTTGTTGGCCATAAAACAACTTTTTTAATTCTGTGTTTTCCTTGTAATTTTATTGAAATTGTAGGATTCATTATATCATACAATTCTGAACAGGCACCTAATGAATAGTCACTGTGCAATAGGCCATCAACAGCATGCAATGGACTTCCTAATGGATAATAGGATTGTCCATGATCATTTACTTCCTTATTAAATGCTATATTTTTTTCGGAACTAATTCTTTTAAAGCAGATTAGTCTGTAAATTTCAGAATTTTCATTTACACTAAATTTCTGTGCAGCCAATTTAAACATTTCTTTCGAATAATCAATAAATTCCGTAATAGTCATTAATTTTTCATAATCATTAGGCTTAAATTCCTCGGCAAAACAGCCATTTTCTATCCATATTCTTATATAACATTGTTCCATTGGTGGTGTTAGACTAAAATTTTCACCACATACTCCTAGAGTTTTGTCTATTTTTTAAAGGAAAGTAGTTAAATGGATATTTGAATTTACAGAGAGAGAAAGTATCTATTGTTTCTTTACCTTTTAGAATAATTAGATATGAATTTTCATTTTCAATTAATGGATAAGATATTTCACTGAAAAGATGACATTGATAACCCTCATTTTGTTTTATGTATGATATTCCAGCACAATTGAATTGAGTATTATTTAAACAGTGCATATAACATTGGCTAATAGATGCCATTGAAAGAATTTTTTTGCTTGTATTAAATTTACCAGTTTTCATTCTTATTAAAATCAGATTGTTGCCTATTTGAACAATAGATTTTTTATTTAAAAAGAATATTTATGATAAAGATATTCTTATTCTTACTATTATCACAAATTTCTTGACCAAATTCTATATTACACATGCATTGACCTTGTTCGCACAATTCAAATTGTGAACAATCATCAATTTTGTTAGAACAAAGCATTTCTGTAACAAAGCTATCATTAATGATCAATACAAGAAATTCAAGATTGTAAAGAGAAGCCTTATAATCTTAATGATTTTATTTTATAGATAAATGAATTTGTGCAGAGTAGCATTTAATATTTAACAAAGTAAGAATTAATAGAAATTCAATATGGAGAACAAAACTATATTTTTTAACGACATATTTAGATGTAAATAGAAAAGAGAAGCGATCAATTTTATCATTTTCATAATGCAAACTTGAATAGAAAAAGTTTTCCTTTAACTTGTCTAAAAACAGAGAAACTTCAACTTTTAGTATAAAAGGTCAAGCACTATGACCAAAACTCGTAAAACAATGCACCCATCTCCGTCTGGGGATGAATAAAAGTAGATGACTCTAGAGCTATAAGGCTAAAGGGATTGCAACCTACATCAAAAGAATAACCTGTCTATTGTACAACTTTGGTTATATTTTACATGCTTGAACTCTATTATTTTATGCAACATATACATGTACATCTTAAAACCTACGCAAGAAAATGCTATAACATTGGCCAAACATAAGTCTGATTAGTCAGCTTGAAGGCTCATCTTTAATTACCAATAAAGGTTTGGCCAAGTTATAATTTAATTAACTTGCCTAGGGTGTGGCCAAGTTATAATTCAATTAACCTTCCTAAATGTTGAACCTTGTAACATCCTGTTACTAAAGATAAATATGAACTACACATTTCGGCAACTGTAAAGTGATGATTGGATGTCAGAGACAAACCTCAAAGTATATAAATTCTCATTATTCTCATTTGGCATGCAGCTTCCATCTGGACCCAAGGACCTGGGAAAATCATCTGGAAACAACCTCCACTGGAACCATCCATCTACTCCTCAACATTGGAAGACAGTTTGGTAATTTGGCAACCTGCTTTTACAAACTATCTACTCTGCTATCGAACTCTCATATTGTTACTTGCTTAAGTATTATTATTGCGAATAAACCATTTTAATTTAAACATTTGTTTAAAGGTTCGAGTAGAACCAGTATTGTTATAACTTGCAAACGCATAGATTTTGCCAGCAAGAGCAGTACAAATTTGGCGCAGCCGACAGGATATTCTTTTGGTTTATTCAAAAGTTTTGAGAAAGTAAATATGGCAGAAGGAGAAAATGGAAATACCACTGGGGCAGTTACAGACTCTAACCCTTCAACCCCAGCAACTCCAACAATTACAATTCAGCCAGCAGGAATGTCAGAAAGGCAACAAAGACTAATTGAAGACTATGATAGATTGGTGAGTGAAATGAAAAGAAATCGAATCACAATTCCAACAGATCATGGAGATGGAACACATCACCCAGCACAGAACCCAAATGTTGATATCACAACAGTAATTCAAGCATTAAGGGCTGCTTGGGACCGCCCTCAAAGAACTATTCTCAAGTTGTATGATGGAAGCAAGGAGTGTTCAAAATTCAAAGAAGACTTTAATCAGGCATGTTATGCTTATGGTTGGATAGGAGAAGATGTTGTGAAAGCAAATCTTTTAGATTATTTAACTGGTCCTGCAAAGGATTTGGTGTTGGCTCTGGATGGAGAGCCTACTGTGGAGGAAATATGGAAAGCCCTCCATGACGAATTTGATCTAGATCCTTTGGAGTATCAGGAGAAATTGCTTAACTTAAAGCAAATGAATGGCGAAAGTGTGGTTCAGTTTGTTAATAGAGCAAAGAAATTGATAAAGAGGTTTTCTCCACCTAGACCAATGGAACCACAATTGCTTGCAACTATGAAAGAAATAAAACTGATGGAAGTTTTACAAAGAGGATTACAACAGGATATTCTACATTTAGTGTACACCTTACATCCTAAATGTCAAACATTGGCAGAACTATATGAGGCTGCTAAGCAAGCAGAAACTTCATTAAAACTAACTCAAAGAAAACCGATCACAATGGTGTCAAAATTGGAAACTCAACAAAGAAAAGAGACCAAAAAGACCCAGGTAATCAGAAAAGATGCTTCTACAGAAACCCCAAATTTCTGGAATAGAAAGCATGTACCTGACAACAAAAATGCTACTAAAGAAAAGTTTTCAAGCCAAAAAGTCCAAAAGTATGCACCAACTACAACAAACAGGTATTATAAGAAAAATCAACCAGCAAAGACGATACTGAAAGAGGAACCTAAGCTACAAAAATTAGAAACATTAGACAATGAAAGCATGTCAGAAAACGACGAAGTTCAAGATATTCTCTGTTTTTCAGATAGTGACGAATCCACTTGTCAGCTGTTACAAAGCAAACAATCTGAGCGAAATGCTTCAACATTTATTGGACAATTTGAAACTAATACTGGTTTTAAGTTTGATGCCTTGATAGACTCTGGTAGTGACAGATCTTTCATTTCAAAAAAGGTATTAAGACAAGTTCAAGGAAAAGCATCCTTCCCAGAACAAACTGTGAAAAATGCTAGAGATGCTTCAGGAAATAGCATTGAGATATGTGGAGAAATCATTCTCAGACTTTATTTTAATGGAAAGATTATTAAACAACGCTTTCTGATCAACAAAATCATTACACAACAATGTATTATTGGGTGTGACTTTCTACAACAAAATGGAGCTACCCTTGACTTTGGCAAGAGACAGATTATACTCCAGCCAGGTACAGAAAAGAATTACCCTGTTGGAACACAACACTTATCTTTCAAAGGGTTTTACCCAGTTCCTCTTATTATGAAAAAGAATGAGAGTCAAATACATACCCTTCAGACAACAATTGAACAAGAAAATCCCGAGATGAAGAACAAAGTTACCCAAATTCTGGCAAAATATAAAGAAACTATTGCAGAAGACAGATTTGATATTGGCAATCCAGAGGTACCACCCTTGGAAATAACTCTTGAACCAGGTTCAACACCATATAGACAAAGGCCATATAGAATGCCTCCTCAAAAACAAGAAGAATGTAAGCAACAGATAGCTGAATTGGTAAAAAGCAAAGTTATTCAACCAAGCAAGAGCAATTGGGCTTCACCAATTGTTTTCGTAAGAAAGAAGGAAGGTAGTCTACGAATGTGTGTAGATTATAGAAAACTAAACAAAATGACAGTTAAAAACAAGTATCCACTGCCAAATCAAGATGATCTTTTTGACCATTTGGGAGGAGGAAATAAATTCTTTTCTACAATGGATTTGACAAGTGCATACCACCACATTAACATCAAGAAAGAAGATAGGTCTAAAACAGCATTTATTACACCTTTTGGCTTGTTTGAATTTATTAAGATGCCTTTTGGATTAACGAATGCCCCTCCTCATTTTAGTTATGTAATGAATTCATTTGTGCTAAAGGATGTAAAGCATTTGTGCCTAAACTACCTTGATGACATAATAATATTTACCAAGTCGCTGGACCAACATTGGGAAGCATTGGAGACCATTCTTCAACAGATTCAAAAGTACAATTTTAAGATTAAACTAAGTAAATGTGTGTTTTTGAAAGAACAAGTTCAATTCTTGGGACACATTGTATCAGAAAAGGGGATTGAAACAGATAAGTCCAAGACAGATAAATTATATAATTTACAGCCACCAGTGTTTGCAAATTCACTACTAAGCTTTGTTGCGTTTTGTGGCTATTACAGAAAATTTATACAAGATTTTGCAAGAGTAGCTAAACCTCTGTATATGTTAATGAAACTACATGGGAAAAAGGATAAATTGCAATGGACTGAGGAAGCCAAGCAATCATTTTTCAAGTTGAGAGATGCAGTAGTTAACCCTCCTGTATTACAACTACCTGATTTTGCTAAAGATTTTCACTTAACAACAGATGCATCGAATGTAGCTGTAGGAGGAGTTCTTGAACAAGTTTATGTAGATGAGAATGGGAAGAAAACAATGAAACCCATTGCCTATGCTTCAAAACAATTCCAACAATAATCAAATGAAATATGCAGCCTACCAAAAGGAAGCATTTGGTATTTACTGGGTTGTAAAGAAATTTTTACATTACCTTCAAGACAAGGCATTCTTTTTATATACTGACTGTCAGAGTCCAGTACAAACATTCAAGCAAAACAAGTTGAATGTTAGCACAGCAAAATGGGTCATGGCTTTAATGGATTTAAAATTTACAATTAATTATGTGACAGGACAAAAAATAGAGCAGATGCTTTAACAAGATTAGAAGAATATACACCCCCAAGGAAAGTATTTTTTGAAGAGCTAATTCATGGAAGAATCAAGGAGAATTCTCCCTCTATTTCAGTTAAAATGGAACAGTATGAACATACACCAGATCTATCTTTTGTATCTACCAGTGATAACAGTGAAGAGAAAATTGATTTGTCTTCTGTTGACTTACAGTCAGAGCAAGAAAAAGATGTGAATTTGAAATCAATTAAAGAATATTTAACACTGGATGGTCAGCTACCTATTCCTTATTTTGGAACTTTTACACCTTTCATAATGGAGATGTTTGTTCACAAGGAAATGATCTGGATTATCCTTGAAGAAAGAAACATTCTGGTTTTACCTGACCATTTGATGCTAACTCTGCTCCCTAAATTCCATAAAAATAAAATTCACAATCACCATGGACCCAGAATGACATTACAAATAATTACAAAGACCTTTTGGCACCCAAAATTAAAGATTATGATTGAGAATTCAATAAAGGATTGCACTTTGTGTGAACAAATGAATGGTAGGAGTAGAGTATACCCTTTGGTAGAAACCTTTCACCCTGCATCACCAATGGAGTTGGTAGCCATGGATATAATGGGACCCTTACCCATGGTTAAGTCATACAGATTCATACTTGTGATAGTGGATCATTTCAGTAGATACACAGTTTTATATGCACTCAAACAGCAAACCAGTAAAGAAATTGCAAACCTTCTTTTCAACAGATTTTTTCCCATTTTTGGAATTCCAAAACAAATGTTGACAGATCAAGGAAGAAACTTTGTTGGTAAAGCTTTTAAAGAGTTTATGAAGGTATTAGGTATTGAGAA